CTGTATATTATTTGTCTGCCTGTAGATTAGCTTTACCATGATGTTGGCTGTGTTTTTTTCTGTTTATTGCAGCACTGTGGCTTAGCCTTTAGAACCTTTGCCTTGCAGTGCTAGGGTCCTCAGTTCCAATCCTGGACACTATCTGCATTGAGTTTGCATGTTCTCCCTGTGCTTGTCTGGGTTTTCAACTGGTACTCTAAGTTTGCCAGTGAGATTATATCATATGTGAATAATATACCCTAAACATGCAGCAAACAGAAGCAAGTCTGAAACATGTACATTTTTTAATTCCTTAGAGGCGGATTCATCTATGGAGCAGTTGACTGGATCTTACAGGTCTTTTCGACTAAGTGGATTGCAGTATGGAAAAACATATGTTTTTACAATAAAACCACTCTTTGGAGAGATGAAAGGTCCTGAAAGAGTAGTAACCCAAACCATACGTAAGTTGTTTTACTTTTAATCTGGATGTCTTCTTCCTTCAAGATCTTTTAGAATAGACATCAGGGGCGTCCCGAGGCCAGGTGTCATCATCGCGCATGAGCGGCCATCTGTTTGACGCCTGCTTGCGACCATCTTGGTGATGGACACCGGCAGAGAGAGAAGGGGACATTCTCTTTTAAAAGGTCCCCTGCTCTCTCCTGACACTGTTGGGCTCTCAGTCCATGACCGAGTGCCCGACTTTTTAGAGGGGGTGACAGCAAAATGACTGTAAGTCATTTTGGTGTCACCCCTGCAATGGTGTCACCCAGGTGTGGGCCGCACCCCCCTTGTGATGCCACGCTAGACATTACTGGACAAGCTGCATTATCAGATCTGTTCCTAAAATTGCATCCTTTATACAGTTCTGTGTTCCAATAATAAGGGAGAGACATGGTCAAATACATCAGACAATTACTGGTCCCTATAATGGGGTGAGTTGAGAAATTGCAGCTGAAGTGATTGTGGTTCAAAATTACAGATAAGTAAAGAGCTCAGGTGAAATTTGCTTAAAAAGGTATACTCTTCTTTTTTTCATTATTTATAAACTTTCTTGCTACCCGTGTAGCTTATTTTTTATGTCACATTGGGCATATTTATAAAGCAGTAAATGTGACTAAACATTTACAGGTGGTTAATTACTCTCCATTATTTAAAAAGCATGCCCCAGGAAGATTAATCTGCATTGAATATATAAAAAGTTACATTCACTACTTTATAAATATTCCCATATTAGTGGTTTTTATAGTTTGTGGTGTATTTAATCATTATTTGTATACTAAATATATACAACTTTATATATAACTTTTATATATTACTTTTTTCCTTATGTGAAAAAACAGGAACCTTTAGTAATGAGGCTAATGAAGACCCATTTTCTGGCACAAGAAAAGGTCCAGGATAGTTGAAGGGACATTTAAAGCCCATTGCACCCTTAAATTCTACAAACCACTATAATTTGACTTCCTCATTGACTCTAGTGCAGCTCACCAAAATGGTAAAATTTCACGAAAATCTCCATATTTTTGCAGAGATTTCAAGGATATTAAAACTCTTAATTGTGTTCATTCCTAGAACTGAGATTTTTCAGTCTGCAAGAATAGAAAGTGACATAAACATTACCACTATCACTTTTGCAGGTGAAAATTACAGTTTATCTTTTTTTTTTTTGTAATATGAAATAAACTGATCTGGTATTGTAGTGTAGTTTTGGGGTGGGTATACGATGTGAGCACTGTTCACTGTAAGTATAGTCTGATTCCATTTGGCAGCAGGGTAAAAACAGGTATTACATAGAGATCTGAAACAGATTGTGTAAAACATGTAGCATGATCCAGCAAAACCAAAATATAGAAATACATGTTTACAAGTCTAAATTGGCAAAGCATTTGCAAAGTTTCAGTATGCAGTTAAGAAACAGTAGATGTTTTTTTTCTTTGGTACAGTTGGACCAGGGAGAAAACCTTCTCCTACCGTTCTTGGACCTAGACTGACAACAGCAAATGAAAGGACAACAACAGTGAGACCTATTGAGTATCCACGGCCAAGTCCCCCACCAGAGGCTGCCAAATTTACTAGCGCTGCCGCAAGAAGAACAACAGCTTTTATTTCTGAGCCGAGTAAATATTCTTGTATATTTTTATAGTACAAGTTCATAACTGTTTACCCATTACAAACTGATATTATTGTTTCTATATGTATGGTTTCATATGGTTTTTCTTAAAATCAAAAAGTCAGACTTAAAAATGAATAGTACTGGTTTGTTAATAGTAATAATCTGTTTAGAGAATAAATTGAGCCAAAGAAAATTTTAGGTATATAAATAAAAAGGTATATAAATAAAATGAAAGGTATTGCCATTTAAGGTATAGCAACAATGAAATAGCAAAAAAGAAATGTTTAATTTAATGTTATCTTTACCAAAGCCCAACTACAGCCCAAACCTTGTATTTAGCTTTGAATATTGTGTGGAAGGGTTAGAACCTCTTGTATTTTTTTGTGTGTTTGTGTTCGGAAGATTTCCGTCTCAGTTTCTGTCAGGACAGGAAGTGATGGAGAATGGGGAGGCAAAGCCAAAAGGCAAAATATATATTAGTAGCATGAAGAAGGGTTAGAACATCTGTCAGAATTTGTAATGCAGTCTGTGCTTTCTTTTCCTTGCGAGAACTGCTCCCATTCCGTTTGATGTATGGGTGTAAAGTCAGGAATTGAGGAACAGTTTTTCCAATAGGGTCACAGACAGAAAAAAACCTATCAGAAATGTTAATGTTTCCTATTCTATTAAATTATTTTTTTAACTCCCGGCAGTTAGGCTTTAACATTAAAAAAAGCTTAGCATTGTGGTTACTAATTAAACCCAAAACTAATATTGTATTTTTCTTTAGTCTGTGCAAAGCTGAAAGCTGACATTGTATTTCTTGTGGATGAGTCTTCCAGCATTGGACCAAGCAATTTTAACAAAGTCAAAGACTTCCTGTATAGAATCGTTTCATACTTTCCCAAGATTGGACCCCAGGGGACACAGGTAGGATTAGAGTTACAGTACATGTATTGTTGTAATATCTGCTTTCACTATCTGCTTCTTCCACCCATTTAGCAGAACGGTATCTTTACCGGTGCAACTCTTTACCTATTACAGAGAGACACATGTTCATGTAAGTCTAGTACCCGACTTTACAAATGCTCTTTTTCATGAATGGGCACAGATACCCATACATATACACACTCACAAAAAAATCTTCTGGAAAGGCTTCCCAGAGGAGCAGACGCTGTTATAGAACGTGTTTATTAATGTCCAGGGTTTTGGAATAGAATGTCCTCATATGGTGATGGTTATGTGTCCAGAAATATTGGCATATAGTGTATATTCAGGGGTGAAATCCAAGAGCCATGCTGCCTTAAGCATTACTATTATGCATTTCTATTAAATACATTAATTATATGCATGGAAAATGTTGTCTCTCGCATAACACTTTAACAAATACGTATCTGTTTAATGAATGGTTCAAATACGGGGGGAAATGTGTAATGTTGTCTTAATGCATGACGAACATAAATTACCTTAGTTAAGCTGGTATGTTCTCAAATTATATTGTTTCACAGAATTGACGAATATTACCTATTGTTTATTAGGTTGCTATTGTTCAATACAGTGAAGAACCGAGAACAGAATTTCATTTGAACCAACATAAGGACAGGAATTCTATTTTGAAGGCTATTCGAAGCATGCAGTATTTTGGAGGAAACACCAAGACAGGTGAGAAGCATGTGCTGGATAGAAACATAAAGAAAACAAGGTTGCAATACTAGTGTTACCAATTATTCTATAAAAAATTATGTAGCTACCTTTCCTGAAAGAATGTCTGGACCTGTCTGTGCCGTAAGTGTGTCGTAAAGAAATATAAATCTTTTACGTCTTTGTCATTCAGGACGAGGTATTGGGCATGTTCTGAAGGAGCTCTTCCAGGTGTCCAAAGGAATGAGGCCATCATCTCCTCATTTGATATTGTTGATAACCGATGGACAATCACAGGACAATGTCATGCAGCCGTCCAGAGTGGCTCATGCCTTAGGTATTGTATCCATTACATCATGTTGACGTTACTTTCCCTTATCTGATAAAACATATCTGGAAAAGTGTAATTGATATAAAGCACTTTTTGCTTCGGTAAAACAAGACTTTCTTCCACAAACAAACAAACAAACCACATAGCATCATAGTATTATGATACTGCAATACTGTAACAACTAGATTATTATACTATTATACTAGTACATATCATTATGTACTTATTCTGAACATATATTTTTATAATAAAATGTATCAATTAAAAATCTTTTATCTTAGCTTTCCTTGGTAATTTAAAGGGTTATTAAACCCTCGCATGTTTTTGCATATATCTATGGCTAGCAAGCAGTAGATATATGCAAAACGATAAAAAAAACTTTTTCAAAGGGTTAATGTGTCTCCACCGCTCACTCCCGTCCAATCATCGGAAAATTTCTCGGGCGGCCGTAAAGGATCTTGGGGCGGGCGCATGCGCAGTTCATATGTTCGGCCGGGAGATGAGGAGAGACACAAGGTAAGTCTATGGAGCAGCATTCACCTGCATAGTTTGACTTGCAGACACAATTCAACTTCTCTCAAGCTTGTCCATAGGCTAGGAACACCGTAAACTTGCACACTTGATCAAGCTTGCATGCTTATGTAAAGTCTTTTTAACTATTTCAGGAGACAAATTTCAATTTACCCCTCTGAAACCATGCATAATTCATTGTTTTAGATTTAGGAAGGAAAACAATTTCCTTAGCAAAACTAAGCAACATGCAGATGAACAGTTTACAAACTGGAGGACAAACAAGAGCTAATTGCATCAAAATAATAAACAATTATATTGCCTGTATTTATTAATAGTTAAACTAATATTAATGAATAAGTTCCTAAATGGGGATACAAGTGTTAAATGATCACTCTTCCTTTGATGCTAGCAAATCTCTTTTTTCTAAACAATATGAAAAGATTTAATGCCAAACTTTACAAAACAGTCAATTATTTTTAAATGTCTTGAAACAATTTTTTAGGGATCCGTATGATTGCTGTGGGTGTGGGTGCTGCAGATCTGGATGAGCTGAGAAATATCATGATGCACCGTAATCTGGATGACATATTCTTTGTCAGCTCATTTGATGACTTCCCTCTAATTGTTCAAGAGCTGATAGAAACAATTTGTTCTGAGAGCAAAACAACAGTGAAAACCGAAGCTGAAGAGGTAAGATGTTAGTATGTAACAAATGTTCGAGAAGAAAGGGCCTATAACAATATATCTGTTCTAGGAATGGGTTATTTCGTTATTATTCACTCTTTGCTTCACCAGGTGATTAGAAAAATACTATTTCCCATGCATTAGATTAATCAAGTTCACTGGTAATATGAAGCAGGAAGTACAGAACTTTCTGTTCTTCCATTTTATTATGGTTGTGATTTTCTGTGCACTCATACTGAGATTTCACTTTATTATATACAGATCCTTAAAATATTCATTCTTTCTGGTTATTGGTTTTTATCATTTGCTTTTTCAAATATTACCAAAAGGTTTAACAAAGTGTATGAGTTTGAGCAAGAAACTTAAATCTGTACATGAAACAGAACATAGGTGAAGGTGTTACATTGTGCTTACATACGTTACTGGCATCTCTATGGAGAACTAATAGTATTTATTTTTTGCAGATTGTCAACCCAGAGCCACAAGGACCAGAGACACTTCCTGAAGAACCAGTGGGACCTTGCTCATCTTCATGTTCTAAAGTAATATTTACACTGAGCAGCATATGTAACATTTGGACTGGCCTCAGACTTTAGCAGGCAGTTGGAAATGCAGACATGAATTAACTTCTCTTAGACTTGTCTGTTTGTCAGGAAGGGCATAAACATGGACACTTGGCAAGGTCAGAGTTGTATAGACAGAGCAACTACCAAACGCTTCCAACATATGACTTGTCAAAGAGGAGTCAATAGTAGTTCCAGAAAGAACGATCTCTAGTTCCTCCTGACTTCTATTGGCTGTAGTTGTCTTTTGCCTGTAGACATGATCTGGCCATTTTCAAGTGACTTTCATTTTATAGCATTAGGTACAGTTGACCATGTTGTGTGCAGCTTGATTCTGTGTTTGCCTATATTACCTGTGACATGATTTGGCTAAAACACCACCTGCAGAAGCGATTTAAAGTAGTATTCAATAATAAATTCAGATCAGATATATATCCATTGCCTAGCAAAGTATTCGCCCAAGCACTTACAGTCATCATGTTTCCAATCAGCTCCAACCCTCCAAGGGACCGCATAGTCTCCAGCAGCTGTCCATCTACTAGCTTGGAGGAGGGAGAGGGTCAGTGGCTTGCCTTGCTTTGCCTGTGTTTTTTGTGGAAACACACACAGCTTACTACTACACACAAGGGAGGCTCCACAGGACCCTGTAAAGGAAAGGAGCCACCCTTTATCAGGATATCAGTGCCAGTATTAAGGTGACCAACTGATTCTGCAAAACAAATTAAACGTTTAAACATTAAGGAGCAGCATCCATTGCAAGTGATATCATCTGCATTTGAAATAGCTTGCATTTCTTTTGACTTTAATATCACTGTAAAGTACCCATGAAGCTAAACATAAATTGTCTTCTGAAAGCTATACTAGAGGGATGCAACATATGTAGTTAGTTATTATATATAAGTACACATCACTGCTCTTTGCAAAATGTAATTAAATAAGTGAAAATGCCTTATTCATGTTTTTTTAACATCTAACTTTTATAATGACAATATTATTTTTATTTTACAGGGCCAAAAGGGAGAACAGGTAGGTGACATCTGGATATTTGTGATGTGTTTGAATAAATAGATTCTATATATATATA